ACTTGATTTGTGTAATGAATTGGAATCCTTCAAAAAAGATGATCATGATATAAACGGAGTAATAACTAGTTTAACAAATTTTTACTCGCAGGCAGCTAAAGATTCTTTTGGAACTTTTGTTAATAAAAGTCCGATGAAAAAAGCTAATGGGCTCAAAAAGGGTGATAAACCCGGCAAGGTTTGGTAAATCATGTAAATTGAAAAGAAAACAATTTCACTCGGCAAAATATAAATATAATAAACAGAAATGTATAAATAATAAGAAGTCACTGAAAAGAGCAAGTAAGGAATATAAAAAAGAAATAAACAATTGTTTTCAAAAGTATCAGTTTAAAACAGAAAAGGAGCTTCGTAATATATCAAAAAATAACCCGAAAGAATTTTGGAAAGTTTTAAATAGATTTTCTCCGAAACAAAAAAGGGAAAGTTCAATTTCACTACTAGAAGTAATGTATGACCATTTAAAGAAGCTTAATGAAAGTGAGGTAAATGAAGAGGGAGAGTTTCAATTAGCCCATTTACCAAGGAAGAAATAATCAAAGTCATTAAGACTTTAAAAAATAATAAAGCCGCTGGATATGATGGGATAAGAAACGAGTATATTAAAAATTTTCTGTCTTTATGTTTACCTCTTTACGTCAAGTTGTGCAATTTCGTATTCGACACAGGGATTATACCCGAAATCTGGTCAATTGGAATAATTAATTCCATTTATAAGAATAAGGGAGATCTTAAAGATCCAGACTCGTATCGAGGTATAACACTGGTATCATGTTTAAGTAAAGTATTTACAGCTATACTTAATAATAGACTAGACAGGTTTGCACAAGAAGTTGAATTACTTTCAAAATGCCAAGCGGGATTTAGGAAAGGTCACTCCACAATTGAAAATATATTTAGTTTATATTGTTTGATTCAACTTTAGTTGCTTTCTGGAAAGCGTTTATTCTGCACATTTGTAGATTTCAAGAAAGCATTTGATACTGTGTGGAGGGTAGGGCTGTGGCAAAAGCTTATTTCTAGTAACATAACAGGCAAAATAATTAACTCTGTTTATAACCTCTATTATAATATCAAATCATGTGTAAGACACAACTCGGGTTGTTCAAATTTCTTTCCGTGCGAAGTTGGAGTTAGACAAGGTGAAAACTTATCGATCTTTCTGTTTGCTCTTTTCATTAATGATCTTAAAAGCTATTTTATTCAGCATGATATAACATGTTTAGAAAAGGTAAATGAATACTGTCTAAGTGAACTTGGCATGTATATTAGAATTTTTTTATTATTATATGCTGATGATACAATATTACTGGAAGAATCAGCTGACGATTTACAAAGAATGTTAAATAAGTTTGGTGAATACTGTGCTAACTGGAAACTAAATGTAAACATTGATAAGAAGAAAGTAATGGTGTTTGAGAAGGCAAGGCGTCAAAGAAATCTGAGATTTATGTTAAGAGGCGAGGAATTACAGCTCACGGACAGCTATAATTATCTGGGATTATTGATAAGATACAATTGTAATTTTAATCTATTAAAGAAAAACTGGTTGAACAGTCACAAAAAGCATTGTACGCATTATACTACAAGTTAAGAAATGTAAACATTCCTTCAGATCTGCCGTTTCGACTATTTGATTGTAGTCTCTCCAATTTTACTTTATGGCTCGGAATTATGGGGTGTTGAGAATGTTGACATGATTGAAAAGGTGCACTAAGGTTTCCTGAAGAGGGTCTTGAATGTAAGATCAACAACACCAAATTATATGGTCTATGCATGGGGAGACTGGCAGATTTCCGTTAATAATTAATATTAAAACTAAATTACTTTGCTTTTGGTCAAAGTTAGTGCAAAGCGGTAGAAGCAAATTATCCGGGATTTTGTATCAGTTAATGTATAACTTACATAATTCAGGTAAACACTCATTTAAATGGTTATCTTCTCTGAAACAAATATTAGATGATACAGGATTTTCTTTTGTCTGGAATGCACAGGGTGTTATCAAAAGTTCGGATATTAAAAAAGAACTAAAACAAATATTAGTTGACCAATTCGGACACCGTCTATTTGCTGATATGACAAACTCGTCAAGAGGTGTGTTTTATGCGTCATACAAAACTATGTTTTGTTTAGAGCAATATTTTCTCAATCTTAAAGTGGCAGACCGTTATATCTACAGTAGATTTAGTTCAAATATCAAAATTCCTATTGAAGTTGGTCGGTTGAAAAATACACCAAAAGAGGATCGTATATGCTGTCACTGCTATTTAAATACAATTGGTGACGAACATCATTATTTTTTTACATGTACCAATGCACAAATTATGTCATTAAGAGAAAGGTATATACCTACATATTACACAAACAATCCTTCCCAATCAAAATTCAAAGGTCTACTGTCACACTGTAATGTACCAGTTCTAACAAAACTGTGCACGTTTTTAAGACATTTCTATTTGTATGAAATCGCTAACTTATTTATTGTGTGTCTTGCTTGCAAATGTATAATCGTATGAAATTGTTAATGTATAATTGTTATCCTCTTGTAGCACCATACGTGTGCCTAAGTTGTAATAAATTGTCTTGTCTCGTCTTTTCTGTACCAAACAACTTGAAAGCGTTAGCGCATGTATGTGCAGTTTTATTATATCTGTTTAGGCACTGCATGGCTATTAATCTTTTGCAAGGGTTAGTTTTTTACATGAATTGGTTGATTTTAAATCCCGTGAACAAAAAAATTTGATCCATAAAGGAAGTGAAAAAAATGTAAGTTTCCAATGAAAATCAGGCGGGGAAAACTAAATACAACATTGAGCCCCCCCCCCCCCCCCCCCTTAAAAAAACAACCCTGGTTTCTGTATGTTATTGAAAAAAAAATTATTTTTTTACATCTAAGTAAAAAAAATGTTCGTCTCGCGTAAAAGTCCATATGCCCCCTCCTTGTCCTTATTGGTGGGTGTTAACTTAAATTAAAAAGGTATAAAGCTTCAAAAAGGTATCTTATTATAGATATATATATATATATATATATATATATATATATATATATAAGCAGAAGAGTAATGGACTTCTGATATAAGTTAATATAAATGTTAGTAGTATTTACTTTCCTGAGACGGTCCAAATCTCGCATTTTAATATGCCATACATATTTCCGATATTCTTTTACAATGATTCCGAGTATTCACTATTACTTGGAAATCCCACTTCCGAAGATGACTGTCAGCAAAGAAATGTATATTTTCGCGGTTAAATCTGACCTTCATTCGGCCAATATAAACTTTGAGATGGTCCCTACTTGTCGTGTTTGTTGTCATAATTTATGGGTTATTAATATTATACCTGTACAACAGTGTTGGTTGGAAACGAACATTCAAATTTTATCATTGTGATTTAGAACAGGCGAGATTAGAATAAATTGCTGGTATAATGTCGCCACGTCCCTCTGAAATATGCACTGAATATAGATTAAATGGTGAATGTATATATTTATCTATCAGTCCCAGATTTTCACCAGAGACGTATGTGTATATATATGTCTCTGTTTTCACCGAGGAAAATTTATACTTCAGTCAATAAATAAATTTAGATAAAGACAGAATTGTTTAGTTTCTGTGAAGGCTTCTTTGTTGGAGATTTTTAGTTAGCAAAGCTGCGATTTTTTTGTTCGCATACAGGGTTTCTACTTGTGATGAATTATTTTTTTGAGACGATAGAAAGGGTTCAAATAAAGTCCTGCCATTTTGAATAAAACACATAATATTTAATTGCCAATTCTCTGACTAATGACAGTTGAAGACAATCGACCTGCGAAAAAGAATAACCCCGACTGCACAAAACGGTATACCGAGTGCTCTGATCTGGTTTTAACAAAATCATACGATGCCGGGGAAGCCACTTCAATCCTTTTATGGTAGGGATATAGGCAGCTGTTACATTTTCAGCTAGTACCCACCTTTTTCAAAGAGTTATTTTAAACATATATAAAGGAGCTACCATTTGATTTTTATGGTGGGGGGGGGGGCTTGGATGAAATTTGAAAAAAAGGCAGGACAGGGGTTTTGAGTAAAAAAAAGGCAGGATGAGCAACTTGGAAAAAAAAACAGGATGACAATTTATGTAAAAAAAAGTCAGAATAAACTAATAGAAAAAAAGCAGGACCGAATAGAGTGAAAAATAAAAAGGCAGGACAGAGAGTGCAACTAAAAAAAAATGCAGGACAACATTTTTCATCCTAGCCCCCCCCCCCCCCCCCCATAAAAATCAAATGGCAGCTCCATAAGATTCATATAAAAAATCGATCCCTGTTTTTTATACATAGACCTGTAGCTATATAGCGCTATTTCATGAAGAGTACACTAGATTTATCAATATAATATCTGATGTTTCAAATGCTTATGATATGTAAACTCGGTAAATTTCTTAACCTATATATAGCATCAAGCTTGAAATAGCGCGAATCATCCCTTCCACATGTAGTCGAATTATGTCTTCTTCCATGTTGTTTTACCAGAGACGATATATCTGTATCTGTATGAATACGAATACCAATACGGCTTAACGTCTCTGGTTTTTACTTTACATCAACATTCTCAGTATTCGGATCTAAATATATGCATTGTGTTTTGACACAACACCAAATTACTTTTCCTTGTCCGCTTATACATATGTTTTCGTCCGTAGTTATCTGTATTCTATCTATACACACTTTATGTACACATTTTTCTCAACAGTTCAATACACAAAGCAAATGACTGGCTTGTTTCCAATAGATGGCTGATTTTCAAATATTAAAACCACTTTTGATCCATTAGCTTTACTTGATCGCCGTTAGATTTATATTAATTACATTTTGTTGATAACCACTTACGCGTACGTGTTAAAACATGCCACAAAATATTGATCCGATTAAATTTATACATTATGTGCCATTGTTTTGAGAAAGCCCCAAGCTGTGTTAATTATAAATCATGTGACTATTCTTTCGGTCGAAGGTCACGTGTTATCGTGACGTCAACGAGGCCATGAATTTTTTACTACACAGCTTTACAGAGAAGGAATATTGACTATGAACTGTGTAATGCAATGTGATTTTGTGATGCTTTTGCATTTTATTTAACGTGATGTAGCATATTCAAGAAATGGTTCGAGAAACCAGATATCTCTTAGTTGGGAATTTACCCGAAAATGTTACGGAAGAGGAGATATCGGAATATTTTAAAAGGTGAGTTTTGCCTTGGGTTCGAGCACGTTGACGAAATGAGGTCAACATTGTGGGCGCGATGAGACCAAACCAACTCACGGATTATTATTAAACACGAGAATTTATTTGAAATTTTGTGTTTTATGTCGTGTATTCATAGTATTTCGTGAAATATGGAGTATATTAGAAATAAATTCCGTCTTTGTTGTGGATTATTTTTTACATATCAGTGTTCGTCCGAGCCACGTCTTCCTTGAATGAATGCGTGTAACTTTTATTTCACCTTTCTTTTGATATTGTGGAATATATATATATATTAGAAATATACCATAATTTGCTTCTTCTCGCAATTGGATTTTATTAGTTTAGTTATTTAGCTTAGAATTTTATTTTTAGAGTGTGTGTTGTTATGAATGTTGTATAATTGCTGTCCGGACGGGGGCAGATGGCATTATTAATTTCTTATGAAAGAATGCATTAATTTGTTAGTCATGAGTAATAATACTCGGATAAGGATTCTCTTAAATATCTAGGCTAAAAATCTCAGGTTTCTTTGAAATTGATAAATGTATTTGATCTAACTAGCATGTTAATGATATTAATGAGACAAATTCAATACTTAATATAGTAATTACAGAACCACTTTTAGCATGTAGGGGAGTTTACAGACATGTACATTTTAGTATTGAATACATTGTACCATATGGAAGTGAGGGGATTAATTTGCATTTATATATTTTTTGGGACAGATTTTTTTTACATTTGTCATATCAGCTGATCAGGGCCTTTTATAGCTTGCTTTGCAGTATGGGTTTTACTTTTTGTTGAAGGCTGTACAGGGACCTGTGTTTGCTAATTTCTATGTCATTTGGTCTCTGGTGGATAGTTGTCTCTTACCAATCTTTAACACATCATCTTATTTCCTGCTAAAAGTTTTGATTCACCAAGCAGATACATTACATGTATGTATTCCTCACCTATATCTATTTTTACCCTAAATTAATAAAATTACATAAAAAACAATATTTCACATTCCACAATAATAAAGTTTGAAGTTTAAAATGATCATTAAATGATCTTCCCTCAACATGTTTTATACAAACATGTAGCTGACTATACAGTTTGGGATTTACTGACACCTTCAAAGGTCTATCTACATATTATGTATGACCTACATGTATGGTGACCTACACAAATGTATAGTTGCTAACATCCACCTCATTTAGACACTGGTTGACTGTTATCTCATTGGCAAATATATACCAAATACCACTTCTTATTTTTATATTGAAAAAGATCTGCAATGGATTTTTCAATTTTCAGCTACGCAACAGTTGATATTCAGCTGTAACGTTAACATGTAGGTATTTACAGTCACTAAAAGTTGTCTTGTCCGGTAAATTCAATGACACTAACACAAATCTGGAGCAATTCATAATATTGAATAAAAATAGAACAATGATGTATCAGCCCCATTGACAGGCAAACCTAAAATAGATTTTGACCACTCTGACATTTTATAATGAATAAAGGGAGACGCAGGATTCTAGGAACACAAAAAAAAGTCGTACAAATTTTAAAAGATGACAGAAACTGAATGTGTTACTTAGTGTGTCCATACAATAACTTTCCTATATCTCCTTTTATTCCTATATTGAAAGAATAGAAACCACTGACATTAGGTTCTTACTAGGGAGAGAGAAGTTGACTGTGACCAGATTCTTGATGGGCAGAATCAGTTAATCGGAAATTGCTTTTAGACATACATGTACACACATGTCACTGTACTGAAAATGGAAATACATTTTTTTCATGTAAATCTCTATTCCTACCGAATGTCAGTGGTTCTCTCTGGGCACTCTGGCTTCCTCCTTCAATTAAAACTGACCGCCATGAAATAGCACAATAGTGTTGAAAGTGGCGTTAAACACCAATCAATCAGTTGTGTAAATCTAGTGAAATCAGATTCTTATATTGAAAAGACAATCATTTGGATGTTCATTTTGGCATCTGTACATTTATAAAGTGGAAATTGTTCCGTGAAAATAAAGATTTTTTCTGCCTTGTTCATTTCAGAACTTAACATGCATTGCAGCAAGTCATGTGTGATTAGCCAGGATTACTGATCATTTGCATCTCTTGTAAGGGAATTGGCATGATTAGCAATTAACGAAGTCTTTTTGCAAAAATTATGTTGCTGCAATTCACTTAAATATACTTTCAAACAATTTGTGATCACCTTTTTGGTAATTTAGAAATTAATGATATTGTTATTCAATACTAGATCCCATTATACTTGAATACATGTTATATTCCCATGAGCATCAAATTGCAAATTAAATCGGTGACCTTCTGGAGTAATGCTTATCAGGTACATAATTTTGGCACAATCTGAAATGAACAGTTAAAAATATCATACATGTATATGTATAAGCTTCTACACTAAAACATATGCAGCACTTAAGTAGCAGTTTCAGTTTTTGGTGTGGTTCTTGTCGCTCAGTTACACATATGTTGCTTGTTTTGTACATGTAGACTTGTTGTTTGCTTTTTAGCCATGGTATTGTCAGTTTGTTTTTGACTTGTTACATTTTGTAGTTTGACTTACTGACTGACCCTAAGATATCTTCTGCCACTCTTTGAATGTTTCAAAAATACTCTGATTTACATGTAGACCTCAAATTTTGTTCAATACAATTTAATGTAGGTTTATTTGTAAAATATAGATAAAAGTATAAATTTTGAAATAAATGTAAATTGTTACCTTATGGATTTTTATAACTAAAAACTAGTGTAAGCATTAATAACATAAAATATGCAAATTTTACTATGTCAAACAGAGTTTTTGCCAGATGGTTTGTAGTTTCAATAATGTGATTATTTTTCCAATGTTATTATCATACAAGTATTTACTGTCTTAATACATTTAAAAGGTCAATTCCTTTTCTTGAAAGCAATGACAAAAATTTTAGATGAGTAAATTGTACCCTTGTTGAGCACCTGAGATCACCATCAGTTTTTGGTGGTGTTTGTGTAGCGAAGTTTTCAGTGTTTTTTTTCCCCCGCCGTAGCGGTGGTGGCATTAAGTTTTACCCTTGTCCGTCTGTACATACGTCCGTACGTACGTCCGTCCATACGTCCCAAAATTGGTTTCCGTTCTCTAACTTGAGTTTGCCTCAACTAAATGTTATGAAACTTATACACAATGCTTATTACCACAAAACACAGATCAAGTTTGAATTTTGGTGGCATTACTTTAACCGTTCTAGAGTTATGCCCTTTTATAAATGGAAAAATTGCAAAATTTTTAGTTTCCGTTCTCTAACTTAAGTTTTCCTTAACCAAATGTTATGAAACTTATACACAATGCTTATTACCACAAAACACAGATCAAGTTTGAATTTTGGTGGCGTCACTTTAACCGTTCTAGAGTTATGCCCCTTTATAAATGAAAAAATTGCTAAATTTTTAGTTTCCATTCTCTAACTTAAGTTTGCCTCAACCAAATGTTATGAAACTTATACACAATGCTTATTACCACAAAAAAACAGATCAAATTTGAATTTTAGTGGCGTCACTTTAACCGTTCTAGAGTTATGCCCCTTTATAAATGGAATAATTGCAAAATTTTTATTTTCTTCTAAATATCAAGTAATTTTTAAAATTGGAGTTATCTTCCTTTGTCCATGATTATAGTTTAATCAACTACAATCAATGCTTTATACAATGCAATGTTTAATTTTGACTTCCACTGATAAAACACAGATCAAGTTGAATTTGGGTAGTGTCACTTTAACCATTATTGAGTTATGCCCCTTTATAAATCGAAAGATTGCAAAATTTTTAGTTTCCATTCCGTAACTTAAGTTTGCCCCAACCAAACATTACGAAACCTAAACACAATATTCATTACCACAAAACTAAGATCAAGTACAAATTTTTTGTTTCCGTTTTCTAACTTTAGTTTGCCTCAACCAAATGTTATGGAACTTATACACAATGCTTATTACTACATAATACAGATTAAGTACGAAATAAGTTGGCGACACTTTTACCATTCTTGAGTTATGTCCCTTTATAGACATAAAAATTGCTGAATTTTTTAGTTTGTCTCAACCAAATGTTATAAAACTTATACACAACCGTTCTAGAGTTATTCATGCTTACAAATAGAAAAACTGCTGAATTTTTAGTTCTGTTCTCTACTTAAGTTAGCCTCAACCAAATGTTATGAGACTTACACACAATGCTTAATACCACAAAACTCAGATCAAGTTCAAATTTGGGTAGCGTCACTTTTACCGTTCTTCAGTTATGTCCCTTTATAACTATATGATATGCAAGCGGGGGCATCATCTGTGTCCACATGTGGACACTATCCACATTTATTTGTAATGTTTTTTTTTACTGTTTTTCGTCTTTTTGACTTTTTCTTACCATGGTGTTGTTACTGCAGGGGTTCAAAATAGCGGTGGTCCGAGGTCCGTGACCTTCCACTGTTGCAATCAGAATTTCGTTTTGGTTACTAGCTACAATAGAAGGACCTTCGATTTTAAAGGAAATAAAAATGATCTTTGCTAACCTTTTTAACCATCTGTATCGTCATTTTTAAGCCATATTATTATTGAAATTGAGATAAAAAAATGTTTCATCCCTGACCTTGCTGATGAGTGATAAAAGTTATTTTTAACTTGTATTTCTTGGAGACACAAGGTTATAAATAGTTGCAAGAAGTCACATGACAAATCATTTAATCATTTATTGGAGACACAAGGTTATAAATAGTTGCAAGAAGTCACGTGACAAATCATTTAATCATTTAGACATTTTAGTTGGGGCAACCTTAAGTTACATATTTCGAACAAAATGAGTCTGTTTCACTTTGGTGTCACTTTGTCCAAGAGAATAGACAATATAGAAGGATATTCAACCTTCCCATGGATAGAAACAAGTGACTGTGTTTTCAATGTCTTCAAAAGAAATCAAATGAAGATCTCACTAAAGATAAAAAATGCGATCTT